GCAGGAACACAGACCAGCAGTAGTGCAGAGCTTTGCAACTCTGAACCACTTCCCCCAAAAAAGGGTAACAAACAGAAAGCGCACGATTATCATCTCATAACATTTTCTGCTTCATGTAAAATAAGTTTGCAGTCACCACACCACGTAAAAACCTCACAAGAAATTTGACAAGCATGTTCTTACATTGCCAGAACACTCAGCAGGCACCAGGCAGAGCTATATTTATCACTCTTCAGCATTCTCCAGGAATGAGATTAAAATACGATTGGCTTTTCCTATCAACATGAAAACCCACGGAGTTTGGGCTCCACTGCTGCACGAGGATTTGCAGGTTAGGTTTGACGTCCTGCGCTGGTGGACGACACCACTGGAATGCAATGAGCTATGGGCACACTATGGCTTGCTCTGTAGCAACGCTGTGGCCTCTTCAAGAGTTCAACCACAAGTTACCTGGACGCGTTTCCCTCCCTAACCCTTCAAACAAACAGAACTTGTGCTGCCTGGATGATTTAGCTATTTGTACATGCACGAAGGCTTACAATCCTGTAGTCCAGGTTTCACCCACCAGAGTCCAGAGCACAGGAAAAACCCTGGGTGCTCGCACTATCAGCAGTCTCCCCAGAGTTTCAGGGTAGTTGTCCTCTACAACCTCAATTATCCGAAGCAGAGCCTTAACTCCAGGCCGCCAGAGATGCCTCATATTTAGCCCTTCCAAGTCCACCAGACACGTCCAGGATCTAAAATAAGCACGCAGAAAAAGACCTGTCAGAACCTTCATTGCACAGCGGCTGCTCCATTCACGATCCACAAAATATTTCAGCACCAGTACAGCCTGTAGAGGATCTAGTGAAGCCAACAAGGGACCAGCAGTTCCAATAAAAAGTAGGTCTCCACTCAGGCAACAGACAGCTCGAATCCAGTCAGCTTTCAGGTGAACCAGACACTCAACCCCAAAGGCAAGAACATACATTGTCAGTGTGGAAGAGGGTGAAGGTATGCAGGCCTATTGCCAAAAATAATTCAAAAAAACAGTTTAAATGAAAGTTGAATCTGGCAGATGGTTTCCTGTATAACAACAAAAAAGAATTTCATGGATCTGGATTAAAATGACCAAGATGCAAGATTAAATTTATCTGCAGAGGGACAGAACATGATGTAAAGGAAGGATGAAGGCTTGCTCTCATATGAAGCTGCAGAATTTATCTGCATTCAAGTCCACTATACATGGGTACCCCAAGCCCAGGAACAGCCCATAATGGAGTCTAAACCTAAAGGACATCATCTAAAACCTCCCCAGAAACATCCACCGTGCCAGTTCAACTCTGTAAGGATACAGGAAAACACACTATACTAACGTGATGGGGCGGCCAAAGACGTTGGTATTCTCCTCACATCTCTTTTGTCCTTCCTCATTAATTGACAGAACCTGAAAGGAAAGACAGTACAGACTCAGATGAGCCTGAGTATGACTGAGAAACCAGGAGAGCCCAGAGAACTTGTTTCAAAAAGTACAGGACCCAGAAGAAGTATACCAGTTTGAGAACTTGCAGCGTGCAAAACAGAGAATGAGAGTCTACATTAAAAAAAAAAAGGCTTCTCTACCGAAAAGTTGTGCTGATCACACAAGGTAGAGATATTGAAAGCCTAAGATGAAATACAGGAGTCTCAAGGTCAAACGTTGTAAGTGGAGGTGCACGAAAGGGCCATGGAAAGCTTACAACTAAACTGCAAGTTATCAGAAAACATCCTCTGGCCTCTTTGTACCATCACAAAAGTTCCACTTCTGTCGCTGCAGGAAGACAGAGAAGCTATGCCATGCCAAAGTCACTTCACCAACCTTGAGCTGCCAGTCACAAAACACAGGGATTATTTGTATCAGGAAGGTAGACTCCAGCTGCACTATACCAAGACTCCTAAACACCCCAGGGGAAATAGATCTCCTCAGGTGAGAAAAGGAAGTACAACTTACATGTCGCAGCAGTGACTCCTCTCCCAGAGCTTTCACCAAGCCTTTTGTGTCCATCTGGCCAAGACGAAGGATGTAGAGTGGTCGTCCATCTTCAAAACAAACACAAGGGTTTAAAGAGGGAAGTACTCTAGTCTCCCAGGCTATCACTCTGGTACCTTTTATATTATAAAGGCCCCATTAAAAATTTGAAAAGGATAAAAGTCATATCCAAAGGCAAACTTATCAAAGAGACGCTGCTTTGCACCAACTCTAGTCTGCCTGATCTCTGCAGAGAAAAATAACAAATCCGCAGAACAGAATGGCTATTTACAGGTGTTGAACTACTTTGTCAACTTTTAAAGTGTCAATACCACTTTCTCCAAAAATCTCAGGTTACTTAGGAGGTCCTTTGATGCACATTGACACTACAGCGCAGTTTAAGGGGCAGCTTCTAACCTTTGTCTTGGTAATGCCATCCTCCAGTGTAGTATTCCTCCAAGAGGGCCGGGGGCCTCCATGACTGGAGGATGTAATCCACCTGGTACTGCTTTCGCCAGGACAGTGACTGACAGAGCATTTCTCGAGCTTTGTCGATGTTGAAGTCACGAGCCCGCAGGAATCTAAGGATATGTTCATCCTTGGGGATCTGAGAGAAGAGAAAGTCTGAGGATCAAGACTGGTACATCACCAGTACCACTGTTCCACAAAAACCGCAGAGAAGCCGGCAGAGCACGCACCGTTTTTTAATCTCTTAAAACTAAGACAGCAAATATTAAGCCTACATTCCTTCTCCCTCCCTGCTTAACTCATCCAGCTGAATGCAGCAGGCGGTGCTAGAAGCATAAAAGAAGTGACCAGTTCACAGCCTGTGGGAAGCCCTTCACTCATCCAATTGCCAGAAGCCCCAGCAAACCCTGGGCTGGCTAAAGTTTCCCTCAGGTAGCTATCCACAAGGACAAACAAAATACCGTATGAAAGTAAAAATAGGGCAAATTAGCAAAGGATTGAAAGCATCCATAGGTAACACACTAATGAAGTTAAGCACACACTGTTTGGAGAGGGATCGTGACCATCCAGTCTTCCCACTAGCACTAATCCCAGCTCTTGTGCAGGCCCCTCTTCTGCTTTGCTCTTGACTGTGCTTCCCTGGTGGTGTTTGAACAGGAAAGCTTCTGAGTTCTTCCACAGACTTCCCTGCCCCATCACATCATACTAGCTCTTGCCAAAACAAATCAAACAAAACTACAATGTACCCTCTCGCTCATCCCAACACTTTCTACCAGTAATTCCAGCATCACAGGCACAAAAGCTTTCCCAAACCAAGCCTGTAGAAGGGCTTATTCCAACCTCCTTCCAAATCGCCCATGTTCCCTTTAGTTGAAAACTCAGTTTGCCATGTAATAGTAATTTTTTTTTGAATTAATGTTAAACCTGACAGACTCCATAGAAGTGCCAAATTTGACTAAAAGCCCGTCATTCGCAAAACCAACCGGATTATAGCTGCACATGCTGCTGGTTTCTCTTAGTCCCTTCACCCCAACTCCATCCAAAGTGTGTGGCCCCATTAGCTACATCAAGTTTCCATTAAAAATTCAAGTTCTGCGGAGCAGGGATAGTCTCCTCCAGAGTATCTGCACTGTGCTTAGCACAAGGGAAGCGATCTGAGCCCTGCTGTAACACAAAACAAGCGTGTTCAGGAGTCAAAGCTCTTTTGTTTGTTCGCCGACACGCTCGCGAAAACAGAAAGCAGGGAAGAAAGCAAAGCCATCAGCAGTGTCAGGCTGGGAGCAATCCCAGTATCACAAGCTGGTATGACGCTGGAAGAGATGGTAAGAATTGATTCCACCTAGAAGAGTTCAGAGCAGAGCCTAGAAGCATCTGAAGAGGAGATGGGAGATTAAAGCTGCTCAGCGTATTCCAACGGTGCCTTTGTATGCCATGGAAAGGAAAAGGGCAGCGTTCCCAAAGAGGATCCCAGATGTACCACCAAAATGTGCTGCATTTAATTTTCATCAGATTTTTAAAGCAATGACAAATCTGATTCTAAAGGATAACATCTGCTTTGGGAGGAATAGGAAACAGCTAAGAAATAGGATGAAGACGACAAAAATAAGGGACACTTTCCAAGAAACAGATCTACAAATATTTGTTTGACAGAGGGCTAAGGACATCCCTGCTCCGAACAGAAAGAACGGATTGTCACAACAAGGTAACAGCCTCTCCAGAGTCAACTCACGTGGGGTAGGACAAGTCCCTGATTCTCATTCATTCTGATGGGCAATCAAGAGAAGCCAACAGACGAGTAGCAAGTGGGTTTTGGATGAAGCTTCCAGAGCCAGCACCATCCTTCCTACTTGTTCAAGACCGCGTGGGGAACAGAGCTCACAGGACCTCCACCAAGGGTACCAGGCAGCTCCCAGCTCACCAAGAGCACTCAGCAGGCAGCTGGGCCTTGCCAAGGCACCTGGCACAGCCAGCAGCTGTCAGGAAGAACAAGGGCTTGCACTCAACTCAGAGCTCCAAGCACCCACGAGGCAGTTGTTTCACTTTTTGCTCCTGTGTTGTCACTTTGACCTTCTCCAGCTTCCATTTCTGAGCCTCTGACTAGGAGGGGAGGGAAAAACAGCCACAACCCACAGAACAAAACAGGCAAACATTTAGAATGTGCTTCTTCCACCTGAAACCAAGATCCTTGCAGATCACACGTGGATAAAGTCTCACTCTCTTGCTCTCATCTAGGGCTCGTTTTCAGCTGGATACCCAATAGCAGAGATATCTCCTACCACACAGGAGTCCACACTGTTTTACTGGACAGGGCACCGCAGACCTGAAAAGCCTCATGTCCTGTATTTCAGGGCAAACTGTACCTGGGGATTGATCCCTGCACCCTTTGTTTTGCGTCTTCTTGTGGACAAGCACCTTTTATCTGACAGGAGGTTGAATCGGGGGAGACCCAGATGACAACCAATGTTTAGAAGAGCCCGTTTCATTAGTTAAGCTGCTATTATTAGCAGGTAACCAGTCACACAGTTCACTCAGAGACCTGGTTAGTTGGGAGGCCAGCCCCAGCTGTTTACTCAGAGGCAGAACATCATAGTGACATGACAGCAGCTTTCAGGTAGGTGTTCAGACAGTCCTTCAAGAGGTCCTTTGTTCCATCGGGTGTATATATATACCTGTAGTCTCCACCAGCCTCTAGCAGCCACCGCACTCTTGGACATGGCCCCAGTTATACAACCTGCTGTTGATGCTACTGTATACCAGTGGCCTTGGAGAGATTTGACAGATGCTCAGTGTTCTGAATTTATCAGCTCTTACAGTGGTGTTAGCCCCTGGAACTTATCAGCTGCTGGGAGACTTTCACACACTACCTCAAAACACAGGGTTCTTCTCTTCAGCTTGTGGTTTTCTGGTAACTGTTTCTCCATCCACATCCACAGGTACCAGCAAAACCCACATGCACATTCACACAGAAAAGGACTTCTTCACGAGTTCAGGAACAACAGAACTATCACACTAAATCTTTGTTACATTTCATTTCTACATGGGCGATATACATCAGTTTCTCTAGAAAAAACAGGGTTAAAAAACCATGGTTAAACTCCTTACGCTCAGATGAGACATGCGCTCTCAGCTCTGAGAGATACAGCAAGGCAATGCAAAAAGCATTGGCAAAGCTCCTCGTGAACAGCAGCCTCTATGGGAAAGGCCAGTTAAAAGGGAAAAAAATAAAATCTTCCAAAGCCCAGGAATGCAGAGCACCTCCTAACCCACTCCGTATGGCTGACCGAGCAGTCAGCTGCTATGCCAGGAAGCTGTAACCACTGAAACCTTATCCAGCTGTGCTCTTTTCAAGGGGGAATCACTTGCTCTAACCATCTTTCTCCTGTTTTCCCCTCTTCCTAAGCACTCTATCAACCCAGCCCACCCAATTACTCTGTCTGTTGATATCCTTGGTCCTTCCTTCCTTCCCACTCAATCTCTCTCCATCAGGAAGTCTTGAGTTAGATCCCTCTTGAGGCATTCAAGCTGCCCTAGATATTTTCTTTTCTCAGCCACATACCACTTACCCTCTTGGCCTGATACAGAGGCTCCAGGAGGAGCCCAAGCAGCTGCTGAACATTACAGCAGAGGGTACATCTAGCCCGCAGGATCTGGGCTGCTTTTCAGGGAGAAATGTTTCTATCCATACTAGCTGGCCAACTCCAGCTGTGCTACCCCAATCCAGTGCCTTCAGCTCCTCTATTTTAGCGGCTTACACAATGTTCCTCACACCATAAGGTGAGACTGTCTCTACTTCCTGAATCCTGTGTGGGTTGGTTTGAAATAGTACGTTTTGATAAGGGAGATAAAAACGAGAAGAGAATGAATTCTCCTCAGAAGAATTCAGCCCTTAGCTGCACAAGCTTACACAACCTGCCTGATGTAATGAGCACAGCGTGACTGCTGACGTGCAGCAGCTGAGAGCTCGGTGCTACCAACTGCCTCCCTGCTGAGCAGCACTGCCCAGAGACAGGGGATGCACCACCAGCACAGATAACCCTTTCCCCCATCCCACCCTGCAGCTCTTCAGAAACACAACCCATCCAGACAGGCCAGTCTGGGCAACCAAACCCTGGTCCATGTCAACTCTGAACTCTTTTCAATACTGACAGCACTCGAGTGGGCAATGCAGCCTGTGATACTGTTGGATCCTGCTGCGAGGTCACACAGGCCGTTCTCCACACCTGGCCTTTTACCTCACCTTGCCAAAATCGTTGAGTCAACACACAAATTATCGGCGACCCCGAGTTGTACTGGAGGGCTGAAGGCACGCAAGCGATGAGAAGAACCGCGTTCGGGCTCGCAAAGGGGTGCTCTCTGCCTCACCTACCCACCTTGCCTTTGTGCGTTTCTTGAAGCCACTGGCGAAGGCGGATCAAACAACTCTCCTGCATCGGAGTCAGCTGGCCCAGATACCGCTCAATGTAATCAGCGTCCAATTTGTCAGCTGGAGAGAAAAAAAAAAAGAACAATTCAGAGGAGACTTGGCACAGCCAGAGAGGAGATGTGCAGAAATAACTGCACATCAGGTTCCTTATGACTTGCACTGGAAGAGCACAGAGGCCCTCGTTTTAGCTGCCTGAGGGAAGTGAGTGAGTGATATCCTCATGGTGATTAGGGCACGAGGACACAGACAGCATGTGAGGTGTCAGAGACAGATCGCTCCGCCTGTTTCTCAGAACACTAATTTCATTCAAGTCTGAACTGCTCCAGCAGGAGCTTTAAAAGAAATATAATGAGCTCTGGCCTTCATCTCATTAACCACTCCAAGACCTGGGCACTTAAATCCACCAGTGTCCTAAAGATCTCCCACGCAATTCCAATGACAAGAGGCTAAAAGGCAGCTAGCCGAAAACTGAAACGTTATTCTGCTTACAGACACCAGAGAGAAAGGGAGAAAAACACTACCATTGCTGACAGCAAGAGAGACTGGTGGCACGAGGAGAAGCCCTCTGCATACCAGCAGCTCAAGGTCCTTCCAGATCAGAGACAAAGGACAAGGGGCTGGAGACTGCCAGCATTCAGAGATAGAAGCAGATGTGCCATCCGAGGCTTGTACATGCACATGCCAGCAAGGAGAACACAGTACCCACTGGGGAGCAGCACGGGCCAGTAGCTAGGAGGAGGAAGGCTGGGAGGACCACCTCTGAGCTAGCTTTGTCAGGCAGGATTATTTTTTTTCCAGCAGATACCATTAACTACAGAAAAAGGCTCGGACACCCACAGGATGCGCTGTTGCTGACTGATAATACAGAAATTCTATCTGATAAGTGCTACGCCCCCACCGAATCCACAGAGCTAGCAAGCTGGGGAGCAGTCCCAGGGAAGCTGATCACTTCCTAAACATGAATAGAAAAGCAGAAACTGTTGATAGGTCTGATTTCCAAGCTTTTTGCCTAGTTACACTCAGCAAAACAAGTGCTGCCTTTCCTTCTGAGGTATAACAACTCCTGTTTCTAGCTCTAACCACAGCTCTAAATGAAAAGGCTCCTCCTATTTCTTTTTGTCAGAGAAGAGTTTTAGTTAGCCTAGAAAATATCATCAGCTCAACGCACAAAGATAACGTGTGAGTCAGGCATTTGTGTGAGAAATGCATTAGGCAATATTCTGCAAGGTTGTCTTGGCCTGATCTAGGGGCAAAATCATCCAAACCAACGCCACAAACGTTAATTTTGAAAGAGCCAAAATATTTCATTATAATTCACTTATACTCAAGATACCTTTAAGTTTCTCCAATTTCAGGTATAAAACACCCTAAGGTCAGATCAAAACCAAGTGTTTTTTTCTAAGCTCAAACCAAAACATACTGCCTGCACAGTTTTTCTTGGCCTTTCAGTTTCAGAGAAAAAAGTTCCATTGTCTGTGTTTTTCTTGAAGAAAGAAAAAAACTTTCCCTCCTCCCCAGCCACAAATCCAGAAGAAAAACCTCCTGCTAGAAAATATAAAACCAAACTCATTCGTCAGTGCTACTCAAGGCATTTAGATTGCCAGCAGCTGCTACTGCCTGGACTTTTACCATCAGGGCTGACAGCTTCTGCTGGAGGGCAGGAGCTGCCAGTTTGCTCCTTGGTGGTTCCCCGAGCCCCAGACTCAAGCGGTACATCCCCAGCATCGTGTTCCACAGCCGGGGTTCGCTCATCCTTCCGTCCGCACACGGTGGGAGGCGTCCAGCGGGGGATGAATGTGATCCCTTGGGAGATCAGCTCCTTCAGATAGTGTTCAATCACTTCCTTGCCCTGAAGGGGAAAACTCTCATTAGGAAAAAAAACCCAAACAATCCCATCATCCCAGAACCAGCAAGGTGCAGGAAAGTTTTTTCTCAGAACAGATGACTGATGCTGTTAAAGAAAAAACAGAAGGGAAGCAGTTGTCTCCTTGGATATGCACAACCCTGCTGGAAAAATTCCAGTATGAAAGCACCATACAAATGGTGAATTACAACACTGGCCAGGCAAATTCCAGTGCTACGGATGCAACTACCTTTATAAACACTTGTATCCCGTTCTCCTGCTCCCAAACCATCAGTTAGCTGCCCTGCTGCTCTGCAGCCCCAGGGAAAAGGCTGCCGAAAGGAAGCGCCTCTGCCCAAGCTACTGGAGAGACAGGGTGCTGATTTTCACCCACAACTTTCTCTTCCTGCATGAGAACAGCGTCCTCAGTGTCTGAGGAGCCTGGCACCCACAGCACCCAGTGCGATCCTCCTCCGGCACAGCCTGCTCCCTCCCCTGCACGGACACATTCCAGTGAGCAGACTGGTTTTTCACTCGTTGCACACTGGCTTTTTCTTCGTTTGCCCTACTGAGTGACTTCAGAGACACAAGCAAGGCTGTGAAACTACACTGGGTCTATTTTACAGAAAAGAAAAGAGAGGCACGCTGAGAACTGGTGTTTGATTTGGGGGTTTATGGCACAAAGGGAAGCCCATCTTACCCGCTTGATGTTTGACGTGTACTGCTTCATGGCAATTTTTTCCACTGTGCTTTCAAAGCCAAAGAAGGACTTGATGTCGAGAGATGCCGACTGTTCAAAGCAAGTCCACTCTTCGTTCTCAGGGTGAACCTAAGCCCAAAGACACATGGAGGGTTGGATGGGAACAGATAGCTCACAGCGTGGCAAACCAAACTGGATGTTTAATCTCCAGAGCTACAGAGTGAGGGGGCAGAAGAGGCTTCCTATGAGACACCGACAGCCCCAGATGTAACAGATTAATTCTCCTAGATTAACAGAAACGTACCATGAACTGGACATATGGATGTTAGTGGTTAACTCAGCATCCTTCACGTGCACAAGGAAATAAAGATTAAACCCCATCTCTGCCCCAGGAGACCTGAACAGTAATATTTGTGGCAAAAGCTGCACTAAAATAGTAGCGAGACTGCCCACTTGAAAGCATCACGTCAAGGTCTCCTTATGGAAAGGGAGATGGCCTCTTGGAACATGCAATTAAAACCCCTACACATGCAAAGGAAGAAAAATGATAAACAGGTTTTTTTTTTCCTATTTTTGGATAGGAAACTCAGCCACTAAAGCCAGTCTTCCCCAAAAGACACAGGAGACACAGCAGAGCAGGCAGTTTTCCCACTGCCAGTTCAATATACACCTTTCCTTTCTAGGCATTTCCCCTCAGTTACTCTATATATGGTAAAAACCCATATAATCTTTTCTTCTTTTAAACTTAACCCTTTTTGGGAGGCCTCTGCCTTTGTTCTGCAGTTGCTGCTATTCACAAACTGACATGAAAGAAAAGAATTCCAGCCCACACACAAAGACAGGAGCTCTATAAAGGACACTAATTCCCCCTGGGGAGATATTAAGTAACCACAAGAGCAGGATCATATTTCTCCAAGTTGCTTCAGGGAATGCTGCAGAAAAGGCAAGATGAGAATAAAGCCGTTTCCGGTACACTCTGGCAGGGAAAAGGGAACTGGTAAAAATAGAGCAGGGAACCATCTCGAGGATGCAGACAGCTAGCTCCCTCCCTGTTCCAGGAAAAGCGCTCCCCTCAAAGCCCAGCTGCTGATGTTTCCTTCCAAAGGACAACAGCCGGAGGCAACACAGCCAAAATCAGCAAGTGCAACAGTGCCTGAGCAGCTCCAGAGTTGACCTGGGAACATTTCAGACCTGTCGGCACCTTTCACAGTGATGGAAGTTTGATTTTCTGTAATTTTTGGGAGGTCCCACAGAGCCACCAAGTGATCTCTGGCTCAGGAACCTCCCTGACCATCTGAAATGTTACTAGCTTTTCAACTCTGTCGTGCTTGAAAGAGAAGCTACTTACAGTTCGCTTACTCCCAAGAAGCTGAGCTGCTGTCCAGCTGCCAAAGGGCAGGTAAGTAACAGGATCTGGACTTTTGTTTAGGGAACAAAAAGCAGTATCTGATCCCTTCGAGAAACAGATGAAGCTATTTAATGGTGACTGAGCCCCAATAGTGCAATTACAATGAAATGGCACGTTGTGGCTGTGTCTTCAGCAACAAAGTGAGACACCCCAGGCCACAGATTAACCTACAGATCTTTCTCCAAATATTTAGAGCATGAAGATCATGACAAGGTGCTAAAACTTTCACTTATTTGTGGGCAAGACTAATTGCCAGACTTCCCTCTGTCCCTCATCATAATAAACATTATGGGCTTCCTTCTAAAAATCCAGATCTAAATACACTCCCAAGCTCCAGATGTTTTTAACAACTTGAATTTCAACCAAAAAGAAACTCAGGGAACACCAGCAGCTCTGGAGCACCATCTGTGTTTTCTACTCTCACCTTAGGGCCCAACACTTCAACCAGAGAATTACAATCAGCCTAAAAGAGGTTCTCAAGCCCTACAAAAGCACTGGAAAAAGCCCACACCCTAAGACCCAAGGACCTTTCCAGTCTATGAGTATCTAATCACAGGACGCTACAGTCCAGTGTTCATATTTTTTTAAGCAACAGTCCAGTGTTCATTTTAAGTTCATTTTTTTTAAGCAACTTTAAGTGCCCAATTTTCAACACCTTCTTCAGAGAAAAACAAGGAACGAGGCACTTACGGAGTAGCTACACGTCTCAAGGACGACGACACGGTTGGCAAAAGTCTCATTGTGGGCTTCGATGCGGAGTGTTCGCTCTTTCCAGTTAACTGTGTTTTTCTGGATGAAGAAAACATACTCTACCCCTGCAATCTGAGAAGGATGAACCACCGAAAGGAGAGGGTGAGAAAAAAAAAAAAGATGGAGAGAAAGAGTAACTTTAGGAGCCTTTACCTGAGCCAGTCAACAAAACCCACAACTCTTTGTCCCATAGGTTCCACTTGCCTTCTTTAGCAGCCTAGGAGCATCCACGTTCAGTTTGCAGCTCCGTTCAACGATATGTATAGCTCCGTCGTCACTCCTGGATTCATGCAGGATTTCACTCCCTAGGAAGACCGGGATCTCCGGACACGTAGGAAAGCGCTTCTCGTACGCCTGGAAGTGAAAACAAAGTAAGTTTCAGCTTCTGGCTCAGATCAGCTCTAACTCTTTCTGAAGTAATTAATTCCCCTGGAGCACGAGTCCAACAAAATAGATGCCCTCTGCTGCTGAGAAAAGGGGAGCCAACGCAGGGGTTGAAGTTAAAGCAAAATAGTTACGAACAGAGCTGGCATCCGCTCGTGCCTGCTGTTAAAGACTCCTGGGAAGGGACTCACAACAACTTGAACATCAGGAACCTCGTCTTTAGCTTGCAAAAGCAAGCACAGCTCTGCTGATCTCTGCTAGCCAAAGCCTTGACCCAGAGACCGTGAAATTCCAGCCAGACACGTTGTCCGTATGAAGAAGCTATTTAAAAATATTTCTTACTCCTGTGCCTTAAAAATGTGATGTGTCCAACAGCTCTAGTTGCCCTAGACTATCAAGGGTAAGATCACCAATTACTGGCTACTCACTTTGCCGTGATTTATCCATTTCTAAAACAGTTCCGTCCTGGTTCAGAAGTCTTCCTTGTTTTAATTAACCCATGACCCTCTGAAAAGCTTTTTATCCAAAGCTGCTTTATCAGCTCGACCAAAAATCCAGCTTTCCATGGCAATTGTAGCAACAAAGTTA